GCCCCTCGAGAAATTTTCCCCTGGGGATGTATCAAGACTTAACATTTTTCTTTAACTCCTTATCTTGGTAGTCACATTCATGCAAAGTTCCAGCTTTCCATGTCCACCGGCTTATCTAATGAAAAAATTGTGAAAACATTCTCCCTTTGAAATTCATGCCCCAGGCCATTTCATTCCAAATTCTGAATTTTTCTGCACGCAGCATCCCGGTAGGTAATTATGTACCAAGTTTCATCTTTCCACACTAGCTCAGTACACCAGGACAAAAAAAAATACTTGAAAACGTAGGCCCCCAAAAATATGCCCCCAGGGCATGGATCTAAAACTTTGCATTTCTCCTGAACTCATTGTGTCAGTAGGCACGTCCATGCCACGTTTCAGCTTTCCATGTCTCCCCGTTTTATTCAAGCAACGGGACATGGAAGGCAAGAGAAATATAAAAAAAGTCATGCATTGGTCAGGAATTGAACCCTCGCCTCACGATTACAGGTCCAATGTTCTACTACTACACCACCGAAACGGCGGCTTATAATGTATTCTTTCGTTGACATCCTTATCCATTACGATATTTATGTAAATATAAACTTCTCCCCGAAAATGTGTACCCCCAGGGCATATACCTCCAAAGTCGGATTTTTTCTAAAATTCTGCACCCCAAAAGGTACATGTGTACCAAGTTTCAGATTTCTAAACTTTCTGGAACATGGTTAGAATTAGCGTCAGTCAGTCAGTCACGATCGTCTATATTAGATAATAACACAGTAAAATCTCTTTGGTACCTCAAACGGCCATGCCATTCAACTACTTATTCAGCCCAGAATGAAATCTGGAATATTGAAATGTTTGCTTAGAGAATTAAGAAATTAACATGTGGTCGACGTGGCCGATTATCCCCAGGGTGTGGGGCTATTCGGTCACCTGTATTCCGTGTCAGTGTTTTTGTGTAGTTTAGGATTGTAGTAATTGTGTAGTTTAGGAAAATATATTTAAATCCATATAGGATGCGCATTTAACCGACTAAAAGATCTCCATAAACCAACAAATTCAGCTTTTTCCCCCCATTTGAAAATTAAAAATGACATGTTTAGAAAATAATAACAGAGCTTATTTATATATGGCTACATAATACGTTCTTTCAAGATAGCGTTAAATTATTTTCAGAAATCTATGTTCATTAGTTTAGGAGACAGCAAATTGAAAGAGAGGGAAAATAGGGATTTTGCAAATCGACCGTTTTAGAGCCTTCCAATTATGAATTTCTTTCTTCGAAACTATTCCAGATGCAGAAGAAAATAAGCTATCATATCTCATCTCTTGGACGGGAGGATGACTTTTTTTTTTAAATCGAAGTCTATGACCTGACAGCCCTGATTTGAAATGAAACCACCCGATTTATTTTCTGTGTGCCTGAAATCGAGGTTTTGCTGCGCTTAGGGGAATTTTTTTTCTCATACCTGTCAGCCCCTGAAATGGAGCAGTAAAGCAAACACTGGTATACAGGTTACCGAATTACTCCACCCCCTGGGGCTAATCGGTCACGCCGACCTCATGTAAATTTCTTAATTCTCTAAGCTAATATTTCAATATTCCAGATTTCGTTTTGGGCTGAATAAGTAGTTGAATGACATGGCCGTTTGTGGTACCAAATGTTTTACTGTTATTTTTTTCATTATATTTATAATTGGTTGTGGAGCAAGAAAAACGAAAAATCGTGACTGATTAGCCCCTCACTACCCTAAAGTTTTACCATTTTTCAGTCTGATTTTGTCAAGATACATGAAGCAATGATAAAGCACCGAAAGCAAATTCAGCAGTTTATGTTATATTCAAAGTAGTTCATTCTATGCACTCCTTCATTGCCTCTGAAGGTGATGTACATTTTTATAGTAACACTAATATGATGAAAGCAAACTGAGCGGGCACCAACAATAGATTAAATGATGAAAGTAGAATTCTTGATGAACAAATTACATATTCCGCATTGAACGCACACCCCTAGAACAATTCAGATCATAATGGAACAGCTTAACGCGTGATGTTGTGTAGTTCTTCGGGAATGGGAATTAATGCTGGGCCACTGATGGAATTAAAAACGTGTCATTCGCTTCGGCTAAAATTGAATTGCCCTTACTCTCATCTCGTTCACTCAAGAGTCAATAGATGCCCGCCAATAGAACCCCGTCAATAGATGCCCGTCAATAGATGCCTCTGATTCTCATCGATAGGTGTCGATGAGACTCCGAAGTGATTTGAAGGGGCCTGAAAATCACTTAAAATGAGGCTCAACAATAAAAAATGCAAACCAACCCCTTGTCCACATGACAAATTAGATGAACAAGAAATAGTTCATGGTGAACTAGGCTTTGGCGGATGAATTGAAGTCATTCCCTTTAGGAAACACAATGAAATTAGCGAGAAACAATTTAACAAAAATTCTTACTGTTACGTATATGTTCCTCACATGTCTTTTAGATGAGAATGTTTGAAAGGGAAATTTCCCGGAGTTGGAAACTAGTGACCGCCTGCGACCTGTTCGAGCTCGATCTCCCGCTTCTGTCTGCTGTGAGTTGAAATCAATGTTTAAAAACAGAAGAAATGGATGTGGAGAGTCTCCCATCCCCGATGTTTTTTTGCAGACGTTGGTGAACCTGTCCACCTTCTTTGTCGCACTGCTCCAGTTCCACCTCTCCTTAGTCCCCCAATCCGGAGGCCCTTCACTACGTTAATGATTCGTGTGTGAATGGAATGTTAGTGATGGGTTTTGAGAGCCGTTGGCAGAGAGGGCAGGTAGAAATCAGACCTTTTTCCATCCAGTTGCTTCCGGATCGGCATTGACATCACACAGGTCATACTTCACGCCGAGGAGTGCATGTCCTTCTCGACCGTCACGGTGCACGGGATCAAAGAGATGGATGAGATGAAGGCTCCAGCATTCACCGCCTGTCTCCTTCGATGTGAAGACCACGAACGCGTCTAGCACCAAAGGCGAAACCAAGTATTCCTTGTGTGCTGAGTGCTCCCAGTTTTCGTGCACAATTGGTTAAAGGGGTTTTAGACGCGTCGTTCGTCGGAACGGGCAGAAGGTGGGCATTAGAGCGAGAGAGCATACGAGGGGTGTTCAATAACTAAGGTAACAAGGCCTGCTGCGAATAAGTTATTGCTTGTGTCGAGGAACTTTTTTTTGGTGACGTAGTACAGTTAGGCTTCCATTCCATTGATCGATGTGTAATACTGCCTATGCGTAAAATGTCAGTTAAGATGACGGCCCTCTTAGGAACGTGTCCAAATGCTGAAGTGCAGAGTTCAATTCGTTTTCTTCATGCAAGAGGCACCACACCCAAAAAATTACATCGCCAAATTGTATACCCCAAAAACCCCAAGTTCATATCGCGAAGAGTTTGGCCTTTACAGTTGTCACAAAAACACAATTGTCATTCGGATCATCAGATCAGTAGCTAAGAGGACATATGAAGCCTTGTGCAACTCCATACTGCCATTAGCATAATAAAAACACATCTCATCAGTTAAAAAATTGCCATAAACGACCACGCAACCGTGCATCACAGAAAATGGATTGCTTTTGAGCCTCACGATAATATTCTTTAGAGAAATCTGACAGACAGTGTCAGATAGAGTCAACGTTGAAAGACATATTCCCTGGGTTGGGTCGACGGATTCCCAATAGAATTTTCCATAATGGAATCGATTTAGTTCAAGAGATGAGGTCGACATTCGTTCTCTATCCTTCAGAGTGGAGCGGCCAGCCATGGAAAACTTGTTCTTGAAGACTTGCCGGCCTCGTTCCTTTCTCCCTCAAAATTCGGCTTTCCCGTGGATGTTCTTCTGCATCTTCAACATCTTCGCCTCCTCATGGGGTCTCGCAATGTTGAGTTTCTTTTCGTATTGACTGAGGGAGCTTTGCGAAGAAAACCCTACCCTGGTGATTTACAGGTGATTTACATTGCCAAGTCCATTCATTGATTCTTAGTGATGCATGGGGAAGAGACAATTTTTGTAGCAGAATTAGCAGCTGAGTCATGACATGAAGTGGTTGAGTTTCGAACGGTTTAGACTTGTATTTATGGGCGGAATACCGAGTGCGGCAAAATGCGCTACTTGTTTTTAGCGTTATGAATCCTGTTGCAGGCATGGCGTATTTGTCTTCTCATCACAATCACTGCCCGGCCACTGCATCACAGAACCGTTCATTATACCTACATATCGGAACCTTCCTGTTCGGAAAGCAGTCAACGGAAAATTTGAATATTTAAAATAAAAAAGGAAACATTTATGGCCCATCAAATATTCCATATATCTGAATGGCCTACGGCACAACCGCACACGGCTTTCCGTACTTTCTCGAACCGAGATGCGACTAGATTGTTGTTCTCCATGTAGCAGCAAAAATATTATCGAATGCGCGAAGCTCGGGACCTGATGCGTCCTGGCGCCAGGGTCCCATCCACTCCCGCAATGACCCAATCTCGACCCCTCTCTCATGACCTCGCAAGCGATGAAGCAATTCAGCATATTGCTACCTAACATGCACGTGTCCAAATTAAATCGATCAAAGAGGGAATCCATCGTCATTATCTCAATTAATGTTCCCCCCTCTGTGCTCCAAAAGTACAAGGCTATCTCCTATAGCCATCCCCATGCGCATATATAATGTGTTAAAAGGATATTTTGTGCGGAGAAAGTGTTTTCATACTGCCGCGCGAAGGTCAATTATGAATGCCCTGCATTAATGCAAAATTGTCAATAAGGCTGCAACTAAATCGTAACCATGGAAACAATCATACTAACCTTAAAGGAGGGCAAGCAAGGGATTGATATCGCCACATTTAGGCAGGACGAGGCCCGCAGCGTTGCAGTGTTGGGTGAGGCTGTCGAGGGCCATTGCTCTTTCGTCGCGTTCGGGGCTGTCGGTCGCACATCTTCCACTTTGCCCTACCAACACATCCAGTCTCTTCATCAGTGAGTGAAACGAATAATTATAGTCATATAATATACTCCTAAACTCTTGTCGGCGTTGAATACATTTAGTTCCATGTGAAAATGGGAATGGTAGTGCTGACATTTTGATATTTTAGCTGATGCAAAATGTAATAGTCGATATTCTTTCCTGGAGATACAGTCGAAGTTGGTAAATTTTCTTGGTGTACAGATATTGAATACATGTACCATAATATTAATATTAAAAATACGATCCAAGTTCAAAAAGTTTCAATACTAGGGCGAAGTACGAACGGGTAATCCAAAAGTTCTTGCCAAATGGCATTAAAAATTGCCTAATCCATATGTGACTTTTTAATATTGTTTATCATGGTTTTAATGAGATTCAGTGACTTTCTTATGTTTTATGTTTTATGCTTTGCAGCATTTCGACGGCCAAAAGAGGCAACCAGGACAGATTACCTTGACGCATAGAAAACTGCGAATGCTGATTTCGTAGCGTTTGCAAAGACTCCTACCTGTGAGACGGTGTTATAAATATATAAATTTTTCTCAGGGTGATGCTGCAACAATCACAACAATTTTCATGTTCTCTCGTAGAATTTGTGCAGCATTTCTTAGCAGAAATTGACTTGAGGGTGATTCCATCGTGACTAACATAACAATCAGACGCGGAGTACATATTTATCTACTCAATTTTCTCGGCCAGTTTTCATTCCTCCATAAAAATATTTTTCGTTCAATAAGATTCTATCTGACACTTGCTTTTCAGCGCTTCAGCAATCATGGTCAAAGCAAATTCCTGCCAGTGGAGTTCCATGAAGCATGTGTGACTAAGGCAACCATAAAAGGACGGCCGATTCTCGCATCAAATATTCTTCATGATTGCTCTAAATCTAGAATTCTTCGTGCAACTCAATTTTGCTACAATTTTCAAGTTCTCTTGTCGAATTTGTGCAGCATTTCTTAGCAGAAATTGACTCGAGGGTCCTTACAATACTTCTTACCTGTGACAAAAGAGATACATAATCAAGCATTCTACTAAGAGGACAAATTTGGAAATAAAATTCACTGCAACATTGAAAACAAATTTGCTTAACAGCGCACAAAACCTCAATTATGAAAACATTATGGCTTCACTTCGAATGACTTTCGCTTTTCATCCGGGAGAATTAGGCTCGTTAAACCTTCTAAAGGTTAAAGTATTAGCGAATTAGGCTCGTTAAAGTATTTTGTAGCATTTCCAATGTGATCACGAAACTAGATTCGTGAAAATCACGAAACTAGATTGTCAATTGTCGATTTGAAAGGTGTCAAGCAGGACGCTTTTCTTCCGCAACCGAAATATCAGGATACCAAGAAAATGTCTGCGAATGCTGAGCATTGTCATGATCTTCCACCAGGATGTGCAGCATTCAGGTTGAGAGCTGGGTGACGGAGATGGCTACCGAGGAGGTCTCGTCCCTGGAACCCAAAGGGGAAAGTAAGGGGGATGTCATGCGAATACCCTATATGGGCGCATTGAGACAATGGAGAAAGGTTTCCCTTCCCAAGGACTTAAGAGCAAAGAAGATACGGCTAGCCTTCAAAGCTATCGTTATTCTGATAAGTTTAGTCCTCGCTCTTAAGCAGGTAGGTGTTCCTTAAACACAATCGCTTATCATGGGATTTAACGGGATTCAGGGATAAAAGGCCAATCGGAACCAGCAGGTAATCTACCTCATCGAGGAGTACGCGTCTTTCCCTACCATTACGTTGATCGACACCGAAACTTTTCAAGAAGTGCCTGCTCCGGCGTTCACCATCTGCCCAAAACCGTCCCTGAAAGCCTCCATCCAGGGAAATGTTGACGACCGATTCAGTGCTCTCAAGAGTGCCTCCGTTTCCTTGACCGAGGTCATCTCCCATGCCCCATACGATGGGCTCAACTTCTCAAAAGTTCCGCCCGTCAATGGAGAAACCATCTTCCACCTTGCAAACAGTGAGCAATATCGAGCTCTCACCTCAAATGCAAGCAATCAAAAGTTGTGAATGAGTTCGCTGCAATTTTTAGGTAACGGGAGCTGGAGCGAGCGGACATTCTGGGAAGTTCGCGACGAGCGAAAATCTCCAGATATATTCAAGTGCTTCACGCTCGCCTTAAAAGAAAAAATGCCTACTGCGACAAACAATTGCGGCAGAAATTCCAGGTATTTTCTCTTCAATTTCACATCGATCTTGAACTCCAAGCGCGAAAAGGTGAGGAAGAATCTACCAAAGTATATAAAGAAGGATTTTGTCTTGTGAACGAAGAGGAAATGATGTCGCTCTTCACCCCTCCGGCAGATTCCCTCGCAGATCGACGTTTACATTCACGATCGCACTGAGGAATTCAGCAATTTTGGCCTGTTAACGATTGAGCACGCATTCCTATTCAGCAACACAACTGCCAACATCTTCATTCGTTCCGACATCATCAGGAAACTAAACAAGTGGACAAAGCCCTGCACCATGGATGAGAACCACAGCTACGTCAGGGTGAGTGAAAAACATCATTAAGGGGCCTTGAAAGATGCACCAGGTAGCCTCGAGTAGCATCCTTATATCCAGTGCATGGAGATTTGCTTCTGGAGATTGATCCAGTCCCGTACAGACCTGCCCTGTTTCGACCCCATCCTCCTCACCAAGGAGGTCAACCATACATACAAGCGAGAATGTCGAGATCGCATTAGCAGCAGCGTCCTGCTCGAGAAACTGGAGAGCGTCAGGAAGGACTTCATGGAATCCGAGTCCAAGATGCGAACCAAGTGCAGCTGTATGAAGAGGTGCCACAGACCCAACTATTACATCTTCGCCGATCCTAACCCAAACTGTTTCGAGGGCTCAAGGTCATCTCGCGATGCCGGGTCTGCTACTCTCTTCTTCAGTTTTCCCTCGTCTCGGGTTCGTCCTATATTTCTTTCTTTTCATATCCCCCTCACTTTTTCTCTTCAGGAGAAGTAATGAGATCGAATCGATTCCTGGATAACCTGACAGGTGCCTACCTTCAGGGAAATGCAAAAGGTGAACATCGTCGACCTCCTATCCAACATCGGAGGAATCGTCGGAGTCTGTCTCGGAGTTTCCATCGTCACCATCTTCGACTTGATCGACGCGGTTTGCTCACGCATCCGCTGCAAATTGCTCTCTCGCAGAAATGCGGTCATTCAAGACTCCAAACACTAATTGAATATTCGCGACTCTCGCCGTATCCGTGACGTTAAATTTGCTTCTCGAACAATGACATTTCGTGAATCTGCTTCACCCGTGGAGATGACAAAACATCTTTTAACTGATGAACATTTCTTTCCCATGACACAAACGCTGCGAATCAGAAATAACTTTTTTTTATTCTGGTATGGCGTATTGAGAGCCTGGAAGAGCCTGGGATGACGGAATTGCGAGGCGGACAATGGTGAAAACGGGACTTTCGTGTGGTGAATGTCACATATCATTAGAATTAGTATCCATTGGACGAAAAACTGCACGGACTTGAAGTCGATCATACCTTGTGGAGTTGATATCTACTTCATTGTGAGAAATCTGAAGTGCAAAGAACTCGTGTTGCAAATTTGGGCATATTGAGATAGATATCCTCGGTAGTTTCTCATAGTAAATGTGGAATGATTATGCGAAACTAGAATAGTTGCATGTTACTCATCATACCGACTGGTACAATTGACAATTTAATCATCAGAAACATTGATTGCAGTGCATTCATCGAAGAGAGATTCCAGGCCAATTGGCCCAAGGGGGCGCTCAGCTTCACTGCCTGATTTGCTTGAGGAAAGGATCGCTCGCTGCCAATGGAGACTCATGATAAAAGTGCAACATTTAGGCTCTCTGGCTTTAATGGCTTTCGAGATGTGCAGCCCCAAACATAGCCTCATGGGAAAGTTGACATTTGGGAAGAAAGCGCTATCCTAGTGGAGCTTGTGGGCGCTGCCGCCGAATGGTATTACGTGTTCTCCGTGTACGAAAAAGGGCCCTACTATATGTACTGACTCCAATTAGATGAGTACCGGTGAGATTCGGAAGGACTATTGCTAAGAAAGAAAACATATAAGTATTTGGTTCCCAATCGTCCATATAGCGTTACCTCGCTGTGAATCCATAAATGCGTAGACGGTACTGTTAACCCTACTGTCTTGCAAACCGGAAGAATATTTGGTCCTCACATCACATAAGACAATTCACAAACATCACAACCCTTATGACAAAATAATACATAATTAACAATGGTACAGAAAAACATACACTAACATCAACAAAATGTTTGACAACATGATTTGCCTCCTATATATCATACGGTGCCTGTGACCATGTACAGAAAACTCTTCCATCAGCCAAAATAAAATATTAGGTTGTTGCAAAAGTCCTGTCGGTATTGACAACTTTATATTCTCAACTTTAGAGCTTTGCAACAAGCGAGGCCTAATCGACCACATATTCGCCATAGTTGCAGATGACCTTCGTCCATCTT